TCTTCTGAAAAATTAGCGCGATTGTAACGCAACGGTTGAAACGTTTTTTATTGCATGGCAGTGGCACAAGGTGGTCACACATGTTTTTAATTTATGATAATGACGCACTTAAGCGCCGTTCGAACGAGAATGAAAGTTGATGAGAGTTTGCCAGTCACGATCGTTGCTCAAAATAATTTAGAATCACTAGCTTCCAAATTGTGCATAAAAAATCTTGGCACTGAGCAAAGGAAGGCAGTGCGCAAAAGCAGCATTTCCCAAAAAACACATTTTCCCCCGAAATTATAACAGAACGAAAGGATGCACTTAACGTATTCATGCATAAATTATACAATGGGCTTATTATAAATTCAATTTTACTCTGTTCGCCAAAGCAAGACAAACATTTTCTGCTTTCTAATCCACTTTTTATCCTCATTTATAACAAACATTTAGTTAATTTGTCCTTGGGTGATGTTAAGTAGTCGCATTCATTTTCATACTAATACGTTTGATATTTTAAGTCATCTTGCTGACAAGGAAACAACGGATGGTCGATATATACATGTTCGACCGTTAACTTATTCAGCCTTCGTCACCTGTCCCTGGCTAGCTTACATGATATGCCACGAACGAGAAGGCGCTATGAGGAGAAATGAACATTTTAAAATCATTTCATACGTATGTATATATTCGTCGTAGTGAGAAGTTTTCTGGATTTTTGATTCTATCTAAAATTTGTTTATTTATTTTGTAAATTTCAATAGTATGAAACACTCGAATATATTTTCCAAGATAATTTCATGATATCTCATTCCCAATAAAAATGGCCAGTCGAAAACAGTCGAAATGTCCAGTACGAAAACGGTCGAAAACAAATTTTTCTATCTCTGCTGCCGCAAAATATTCTCAGAATTTTGAAACATTTGCCCAAACTGAGATCGCTGTATATCAGGGAAACATTACATAGTTAAACTTCAGGTTTCGTAAAATGTTTTATCCACAAAATTTGGTTGACTAATTAAATTTAAATATCATCTTTAAATTTAATTGCCAAGTCTATATTTCTCTTATTTTGATTATTTGAGTATTCTTTTGACAGCTATTCCTTGTTATTCTTTTGACTTTTGAATATTCTTTCACAGAATAATTTCAACACTCAGACATACGCGTTTGCAATTATCATGGAAAGGCAGAAAAATTGTCTAATTTAAATCCCTCGTGTTACTTCAGCTTTCAACACAATGATACAAAAAATATCTTATTTGATCGCTAAAGGCCCAATCTTTACTACAGTAGAATGGGAAAATTAAATCTATACATACACTGTAAATTCAAAAGAGTAGTTTTGACCCCTTCAAAGGAATAGTTTTTTTTTACCCCAGGATTACCCTTTCAAAAGGGTGTTTCAGCTATTCAAAAGGGTCGTTTCAACTATTCAAAAGGGTTGTTTCAGCTATTCAAAAGGATCGTTTCAGCTACTCAGAAGCGTCGTTTCATCTATTCAAAAGCGTCGTTTCAGCTATTCAAAAGGATCTTTTCAGCTATTCAAAAGGGTCGTTTCACCTATTCCATAGCCCGCGTGCAAGCCCAAGGGAAGAATAGTGGGCCTGCAAGCAAGGCCCGGTATTTTGTACTTTCCGCGTTCGCCCACGAACGCGGCATTCTGATTGGCTGTTTCCTGTTGGATTCTATAATTAGATCAGTGATTCACATATATATCTTAGATACACTAGATAGTGCATCTAATTATTCTGCAATTCAAAAATTGAAGCCGTGATTGCAGTCTCAGGTCGTTCACATGAAATGAGAAGATTCGTATGTTTTCTATTTCTTTAACAGGGAACTTAAACTTTAAGTTCACCCTATTCCGAATACATTTTTAAACTATTCAAATGATGGAAGTTATTGTTGTTTTTAAGCGTTTATTAGCAAGTGGGAACGTCCAACATGGCCGCCATCTTTTCAAATGGGGGTAACCGCTGGAGTATTCTTGGCTTCAATTTTACTAAAAGAGATGCGCTATCTAGTGTATATAAGATATCTATTGTGATTCATCACAAAGGCTCTCGATAAGTTTAAAATTCGAAAATTGATCACTTTTTTCGATTAAAAATGGAACAAGAACAGACTGTTTATTCTTTACTTGAAGGAACGATGTTTTTGCCGTTATGGTAATGGGAATTGCTTCTCGTGAAGTGTTGGAATAGCAACATTACGACTGGGGTAAACAATGTAACCTTTACTTGAGATTCATTAATTTCGAACAGACTTGATACGTTATATGTTCCTCAAGAAAATTATGTTTTGGTTGATGTTGACTCTGTTCTTGTACTGAAGAAAACAGCGATTTTCGTGGTGAAGATTTAGAGGCAGTACGTTGCACGTAAGCCTATTCGAAACACTTTGTGATTTTCAAGGCTTCGCTGAGAGTCTAACGAAACAGAAGACGGTAATGGCCGTTTGAATCGAAACGATCTGGACTCTGAACGCTCTCTTCTTTTGTAGAGTTCTTTACCAAATGAAATAACTGAAATAAATTTCGTACTTTCCGTCGCCAACAAGAATTGCACAAACTATCTGATAAGTGAGACAATTTATTTATAACAATGGCGACAGCGAAGCACACATTAATGCTAATGCGATCGCAGGGCTTCCCTCACGATTTGAAGTTTGAGACTGGTTTTCTCTTGAAATTCGTCCTAATTTGCCTATTCCGATTTTAGTTGAAAATGATCACTTGCAAATTTGGCAATTACTGACTGCGTTCCTTGCTTTTTTTGGAGTTAAAACAGCCATTTACACATTGTTTCTATTTTCATACGCTATTTTGAAGAAAACCTCGCAACATTTTAATGCGAGTTTGTTTGTTCCTTTTTGGGTTGCTGTCATTAGTTCTTTTTTGACAATTGACGCGCGAATGGGGCGTGTTATGAAAAGGGGCGTTTTACAAAATACCGGGCCTTGCTTGCAGGCCCACTATTCTTCCCTTGGGCCTGCACGCGGGCTAGCTATGCAAAAGCGTCGTTTCAGCTATTCAAAAGGGTCGTTTCAGCTATTCAAAAGGGTCGCTTCAGCTATTCAAAACTCCCTGTAGAAATTTTGTCGTAAGCTGTTACACATCATAATATTTAGGTACGATTTGATACGTAAATGATTTCTAACATTCACAAATCAATAAATCGTCGTTCAATATCGTTTCGTGTAACGTAACCTTCAGTGCAGAAAATAAGATGGGACGTAATTAATTAAAGAGACCAATCTCTCTTTTTAAAAAAGGGATTTAGTACGTCACTATATGCTAATTATATACAAGCATTTACGTAAAGAGAATGCATGTGCATTAAAGTCTTAATCCTTCACTGACCCAACAGAGTAAAAACTTGAGTAACACTAAGAGGGATTTGGTTATTAGAAGTAGGGTAGCCAGTCCGATGATTTAGTCCCGCTATGTGAATATTTTCGTGCTCATCGACTGTGAAAACTATCAATTTCTAAAGAAATGAATAATGATAATAATTTTGAATTTGCATATCCAATATATATTTAACGCACAATAACATGACAAATTTTTATGAACCTTGTATATAATGAAATTATATTTGAAATAATGAAACATTTTTATTTTTCTACATTTTATTCGTCTATATTTTAGTTATCTTCAGGAATGGATGAAATTACAAGAATAACAGTGCCTTATATATACCCTAGTTACAACTACTGTCTTTCTTTTCCTAATGATGATATGCGTATTAATATATAGAACTATTTATAAGTGTATAGTTCTTTGTGTTCACATTTACTATGACCAAGATATTGTTAGTGAGTTTATCTTTCAACTTAAGTTCTTTGTTGATGAAGGGTTATTTTTGCAGCTACTATTCAACCCGTCGACATATTTTCAGACTATTCAGAACTTTCAATCATTCGGTATGGAACACCTTGTTTTCCCAGTAAAAGATTAAAACAGTTAAATGTACAATTCATCAAAGTTGTGGTTCTAGCCCACATGGATACAAGGCTGCATTTGTCTGCGTCGAGTGTTTTGTTCACCCAATGTAGACGAACACTGGAATAATTCAATTCCAATCCTGTGCACACTGAGTTCATTATATACCACAAATAACTGTCCCTGTTCACTTTAACACAACTTACCCACACGAAAACAATTTGTGTTGTGGGAGAATATCGGTTTGAGTAAAGGTATCACAAGTTTAGTTTTGTAGACTGTGTGGCATTGATCTGATCCATCCATATAATATATTATTGTAGCTGTTAATAATGTTATACTGATGCAAGTGGGTTGTTCTGACAAAATTATCTGGCCAATATCCAGCTTATTCATCATTCTTGTATTAATCTCTAAACAAAAACATTTATGTTAGAAAGCAAAATGACAATGTAAAAAGGAGAGAGGGTGGGGATTCTTTTACAGTATTAGCATTTGAAAATGTATGTAAAAATGTTGTTTAATTTTTAAACTCTAATGTGTAAAACCAAAATGTACAAGTATTTTAACTGATAACATCTTAACCTTTGCTCTATAAACATACATAAATAAAATGATACATTAGAGAACAGCTTAGTTGGACTGTTGTTTTGAACAGAGTTACAGAAATACAGGATCAGGATTTAATTCAATATAATCTGAGAACATTAGTTTCCTGTGATATTTGTTCATTGGCAATATTGCCTTGCTGGCGAGGACGAATTATTTGACAATATGCGATGTTTTGACGCAATGAATGTTTTTAGTAGAAATACTGTATAGATGTAGAATAAGATAATAAAATATGTGGTATTTCACTACTTACCAGATGAAGATATTAAGTTCCCATGTTGATAGATAACTTCGGAATAATATCGCAAGTAGAATAGCGAAAACAAGACAGCCAATTCAAGATTAAAATCAAGATATTTTTTAACATCGCCAACTATGTCGGTCATATGCCAGACATGTTGTACAGCGGTTGCTGCCCTGATTTTAGCCTGCGAGCCTGTTGCAAACCTGTAAATTCAATATGGCGGCGAGAAAAAGAAATGTGCTCGATTATCAACAATTGGATTCTTTGTCCTCAGTGGTATTGTACGACACACCGCGGAAAAAGAGAAAGGTTCTTCCGAGGAAATACAGCGTGGAAAGAATAATTTCTAAGCGAAAGATCAAAGGCGTAAGTATAAAGTTAATATTTTTATTTTCAGTCCTGTTGTCTTTTCACTTCATATTAATACTATAATACAGACGAAGGTTCTTAGCTCGTAATGTCGATGTTCTTGTTAGATTATCTTCATCGAGCAAGAATTTTTGTAAAGAATCTACCCAAGCAAGCACCCCATGTGTCTACTCCTCTATATTAAAATACTCCAACACTAAGCTGTTATTTTCAAATTAGGAATACGAGTATTTAATAAAATGGGATGGCTGGCCGCTTGCAGCCTGTTCATGGGAACCTTCAAGCCATCTTGATGAAGAGTTATTGAGGTAAAAATTACAGCTGAGCAAGGTTGTGCCAGTGGCATGTAGTCAACAAATTTAGTTTGTTTGTTTTAATTTACTGTTTTGAATAAACTTCAACTTGTAGCCATTCTAATGTTGTTTTTAAAACTCAATAAAATAATAACAATTGCTTTAATTTCTAGAGGTTATGAAATACCACCAACACCACATCCGGAACGATTGGAAACAGCATGTCGGCAGTTTTACCAGGCCATTCCGACGAGCCTTCGATCAAAATCTGTGGCACCTACCTATATTCCAATGGACTTGGACCTTTGGCGTTACATTATCCATGGGAAAGGCAGGGAATCAAACCACAAAGGATTTTCATTGTACTCAGTCAAAGATTTGGCACATTTGAGGCTACCAGAGCATTGGTGGTACACCTTAGATAAATATGGCCATGGAGAGGGGCGAGGAATACAACAGCTTAAAATTAAACCAGTGCTTAGTTGGACTCCTAAGTACCAAATCTTTAAAGATGGTAAATTGACTGACGCACCTCAAATGCCTATTGAGAAACTTTGTATTGACATTTTAGGACGTTGCTGTAACACACATAATTTAAATATATAGAATAAATCAGTATCTCCATATTAACCTGTCCTGTTGAGATAATGTTTATTTACAAAAAACAGAGAAGACAAAATATGTGCAACAATGCTTGACCAATGTACCTGCCTTCATGACAGTGTATTTTTAGTGCAAACAGGACCGAAACATTTCTTGCAGCCGTTTTACATTTTTTACGCGAGTTTTAATGCCATACTGTGCTAAGCCTGCCCGAAGCTCTGCAGGTGACATACTCTCCACATTCTGCTCATCATTTGAATGAATATTTTCATCCATTTGTTTCTTCTCATCCTCCATCTTACGCTTAAGCTTTGCTCGCTTTTCCTTTAGGTCGTTGTCCCAGTACTGGGCGTTTAGCTTTTGGTACATCCTTGGTGTACGATGAAGGCTTGATAGGGATTCTACTCTCTTGGAAACAAGAAGGACATCATTAGCAGCATCCCACTTATTAGATTTAGCTAGATGAATTCTTCGGCAGTCATCGTTGTTCTTTTCAATGCCTATGAATAATGAATAATGTACACTCAGTCTGGTAAAATACATGTATTGATCACTTTATCAGTACATATTATACAGTAATTAAAGTAATGTTTGTCATAACTAACCTTGTCCTGTGAATTTCTTGATACCACTGTGCTTTCGCATCATTGTGGGGACATGGTACACCATGGAATGCATATATGGAGTGACATTTCCTTTGGCGTACCCATCATAAACACTGCTCAGAGAATTAAAAAGTTGTATCCATTTCTTTGCCTGAAATGTACATGTAAATAGAAAACGTATATCAACGGAACCACCTTTTAAGTTTGAAAAGCCAATATCCAATTCACCTAGAAATAACTATACCTGTCACAAGGGTAGTTACTTTTTTTAGAACTATATATATATATATATATATATATATATATATAGTTCTAAAAATAGTAACTACCCTTGTGACAGGTATAGTTATTTCTAGGTGAATTGTATATATATATATACAGTATATAGTACTGACCCTACTTCCTGTTTCTATAAATGGAAGCTATCCCTAAAACGCAACTCATATATATGCCAACATTTCCAAGGTTAGAAAAATATGCGCTGGAAAAGACATTCAAATTTGAAAGAAACATACCTTTCCAAAGTAATTAGTTACAAAATCATCAGATGGTTCTATTTTGCCCAGCATTGACTATAGATCACAGAAATTCTGCAGTAATTGTAAAATAAAAATATACAATTTTAATTTTAATTTTAAGCCTTCCTGGCTCGATTCTGTGCTTATGAATTGTAATTCGTGTGAATTACATGGGACTACATTTGAATGCAGTGCAGCTCAATGAGCTAATTACATATTGCAACTGTCTGAAAAAAACAACCACAGTTAATAAACTTACCTTCCAGAGATTGATCACATTCTCGCTCAAGTCTGCCTTAATAACACCTTCTAATTTTTCTGGAAGGTATTTTAACAGGAGCTTTTTATCTACACCCATCAGGCTGGTGAAATCATATGTGCCACTTCCTCCCCCATCAGCATTTTGTTTCTCCCAAACCTTAAAACACACTCCGCAGTTGTTAACTGCAGTGATAAGTGCTTCAAGGTGCATATTTGTTCTTTCGCAAGGCCGTTTATTAAAGTTATCTTCTTTATCCCAGTTTATTGCTGCTGTTACAAGGTTCCTGGTAAGGATATCTGTGAACATGCAAAGAAAATGTAAATAATTATTCACTATTTTCATTAAATTCCATAATGCAATGCACTGGGGTACCAAAACAATCAAAATGGTATCAATATGGTATCCTAGTGGTTACCAAGCTCTTACAAAACTATACAGGTGCATAGCATTAATGGGATTTAGGGGCTGTTCATATGAGCCATTGCTCTGCCGGGCTGGCCCGGCTAGCCGGGCTGGTTTTCAAGTGCCGAGATCCCGCTTCACATATTGTTTGTATATTAATTTAGGATTGGGTTCATATGAGAAGCGGGCCAGCCCGGTTTGCCAGGATCTCGCTTGAGCGAGGTGAGATCCCGGCTTGCCGCGCTCATATGAATGCACAACCGGGCTAGCCCAGCAAGCCGGGCTGGAAATTTGCGTGCTTTATTCCACTGATAAACAGTCTAAAATGTCCAAACTATAGGGATTTATCGAAATTAAACCTCCTGAAGCTGTTGCCGTCAACAGAAATAAAATTCTGCCAAATAAACACGAATTATATTTTCCCACTAAAATATTGCAGGAAATCGTTACTATGAATAGATATGATTGCCGGGCTAGCCTGCCTCATGTGAAAGCAAAGCGGGCTAGCCCGACCAAGCGGGCCAGCCAGCTTTACCGGGCTCATATAGACAGCCCCTTAGTGAAAATAGGGAAGAGAAATTTTGCAAGGTACCTTATCTAGGCCCTTGTAGCAGAATCCTGAGGTTAACACTATATTAGTTTCCCCTTATATATACTAACCAAGCTGCTCCTGTGGGAAAATGAGCAGAAACTACACCTGTAATCCTGAGCATGAGATGCAATTCATCCAGAACTATATTTTCCAATGGAATGTTCAATAAAGGTTGATGGACACAAGAATGAGTTTGACTTATTAATGCACATTTCTTTATCTCTTCAAGGGTTCTGGCCATGGGTTTCTCTGAGTAGAACTTCTCCAGCTTAGACATGTCAAATCTAATAGCACAAAAAGTATTGACTTCTGTCAGTTGGAAAATGCTACACCATCAACTCTTTTATATTTTCATACAGAGGGAAAATTTTATATCAATTAGTAATAAATAGACATCCTAAAGTCCCACCTGTATTTCTTGTGAATGGTGCACCAGATACAGGCATGGTCTGATGTTGCACCCTTCATACCCAACAGTAACAACAGAAACTAAAAAGTGTAATGATTTATCATTATTTTAAAAATAATGAAAAAGCACATTTGGTGCATCTGGGTAATTTAGAGATTAGTTCTGTAAGTTTAATCTAACAAGACCATAACATTGATTATGACTAATACTTTGTAATCACCACCAAGGAATATTTCAACAGGAATTTCACATTCATCTACTGTTATTTTCCCTTCCTTGACTATTTTGTCAATTGCCGAAAATAGTTCTGAAAATGAACCTTTAATAATTCATAACTTTCTTGGCCTTTAACAACTCCGACTGTGTGGCTACCTAAAATAAAAACAACAGACGACAAATAATTAGCAAAAATATTAGCCAGGGTGGTTGGAAGCGCGGGGGTGGGGGGAGGGGAGTTGGGTGAGTGGGCGGTCTGCCTTCCGCCAATATTTTATAGGGGGGGGCACACACACTCCAGAAAATCTATGCCTGGAAACAGCCCCCTAACTTTTAAAAGCTTGCTACGAGCCTACGGCCCAGTTATTAGCAAGTCTGTCATTAACCAAGGTAATTCCATTCGGGCACCCACTACAAAAGTTTTTAATCAAAATTACCTTTGGATGACATGACATCATCAGAGTCCAACAGCGAGAATGACATTATTACAAAGTTGGTCATTCGGGTCATTTGTGCCCCATCCCCACTGATCTTAACTCTAAGTTTTTCATGATCACAATTTCTGAACTGTTCCAAATCAACATGTTGCAAATAACAGTGATTAGGTATAAAAAGAACAAAACATCCAACATTATAGTAGAGTACCGGTATAGCGGTAGAGATGATTCTTGATAATGACTTCTTGTTCTTTGGCAGGAGATGATGGGGGGGGGGGAGGCTTAATTAGGGAGGGCTGAGGAGTGGCTATTTTTTGGTGTGCAATACCAAAATATTAATTAACATTTAAATTATAGGTAATAATAAAAACTTGCCTGCTGCTTTATTGTGTTCCTTAATTCAGACTCCAGGTTCATTTGTGCTCCTTCTGCAACACCTGGGGTTCTGGTGATGTGGCATAGGCTGTTCAAATAATTTTTGCACTGTTTCACCAAATAAGAACGCGGTAGCTTCTCCCCTCCTTCAGTCATGGTAAATTCGTGATATGCCGCCTCCCCAATGCAGAAACTATCAGTGATGTAGAGTACCTGTTGCACTTTCTCTTTTTCTTCTTCCGACAAATCTTTATATCCTTTCTTTCTATCTTCTATGGTGTAATCAATGGTATGGGATACCCCCTCGTCATTATTGAATTTGACCGAGCTAAGCTTAAGGCCAAAAGTCTCGGCAAACCAAAGTGCTTGTTCTACATATGTCTTTAACTCTCTAATCTTGCGTCTTTGTTGTCTTCCTTTGACTTCAGAAAAAGGTTTGCCGCAGTTCTTGAATCCCTCCAGTTCAGAAATTTTATCAAAATACTTGCACAAGTTGGCATTCTCCTTTTCAAGCTTTTGTAGGTCGACCTTTGCATCTTCTAAGCTATCGTTGGTTTTCCTTCTGAGCTCTTCTTCTTGAACCAAACTGCTGTACAAGTCATCACAGCGTTTCTGAAGGGCTGCATTTTCTTTCTCTAGAGCAACTTTTGCAGTATTCAGCTTGCACAACTCGATTTCCAAATCAGATGCTCTCAAAATTTCCCTGGCTTGAATTGCAAAACTTCTACTTTGGCTTGCAAAGTTGACATAATGTAAACCAGATTTTCCCTTGAAACCGCTTTTAACTTTTGAACACAGTTTTCTGAGCCCTTCTTCGATTCGTTTGCAGTCTTTCTTGACAAGAATTGCGTACTTTTCAGCGAGAAAATAATTCAAGATTTCAACAAAGCTAAAATTTAACGAGATACCCTTTCCTTTGAAGTCTTCCCAGCTTTTCAAAACTTCGTTTGTTATGTGCAATGTGAAAATAATTTCTTCAGAATTTATACACTGTTTCTTTACATATTGTAAGCAATGATTGTTATCAACAACGACGTCACGGTTGTACCTTTTAAAAACATAATTCTTTTTGAAAACGTCAGACATAGTAATAGTTCATTTTAATTTCAAATGAGGCTATAAATTCGCGGGAAACAAAGAGCTTTCGCGTAAAGCTCTGAAACCGGAAGTAAAAAATGCCATGGAGTTAGCCGCTGATCTTGCTGATTGTTTTTCGCATATCCCAACGTGCAATAAAGGATTAGAATGTGCAGATCTTGGCGATTATTTTGATACCAAAAACTTGCTAATACGACAAAGATTTCACGGCCAAAAGTAAGCTTGAAACTTGCTGAAATTAAGGAAATCGAACACGACATACATCCTTGATAGCATATGAAAGTGCAGTTGAAAATAAAGCGATTTAACAAGTGATTTATAAAAGGTTCTGATCCAAATTGCGAAACGATATTTTGTAAGCAGATGATCATGGCAGCTACGTTTCGCCTACCATTTGCGCAGATAACAATTTGTTAATGGATTTTCCAAAATTAAGCACTAAAAGTTGGAGTTCAGACGCATTTTTAGTGTTTATACTAAGCGATGTAATGGGCCTTCGCTAGTGGCAGACATGAAATCCAAATAAAGGTAAATTCAAGTCTTTAAATTTTGTTTTTTTACTGAGTGGTGAATTATTAAGGCAGGAATACTATTCCATTTGCGCAAATTCAAAAATGTACTCTGTTGTTGTTAAATTTGCAGTTTTTATGGCCATTCCTATGTATTTATATTGCAAATTTGTTTATGCTAATGGAGCATCCGCTTGCACATCGCGGGCTCAATGTCCAAAATAGTTGGTGATGGCCAAATTGTGAAAATGGCAACGAATATTCACGAATCACGAAGCCAAACGATGCCCGTTCCCAGGTTAGATGCGGGCACGATGTAAAACTAAAACAATCGATGTAAACTAATCGCTCATTGGCTTAAATTGTCATGAATTGGCTCAATTATATAAGCTCGTCGCTGAATGGCTATGTGTTAACATACGGTATGTTTACGATAGAAATATATCTGCTTCGCAGATACAAAAACCGCTAAAAAACTGGCAGTTAAACTTATGGCAATTTCCAATTCTTCCTCGCTCAAGCAGCCTGTCATCTCGAAACACGAAAATGCAATGAAATCGCTTTCGAACAACGTGGGGGGTCCGCGCATCACACATGATTCAAAACTTTCACTGGCGTTTCACCGTCCATTCTGATAGAGGCCCTGGTGGTGCCTAAATTACTTTGAATTTGTACTCGAGTAAAAGTAGAAGTAATTGGTAATAAAACAACTTGAGTAAGAGTAAACAGTACTGGAGGCGAAACGTACTTAAGTAAAAAGTACAAAGTATCCTTAAAAAATACATGTACTTGAAGTACAAAATAAAGGTAAAGTAGTATTGCCTGTAGCGTGTAGGGAGGGGACTTTTCCATTGATGGATTGAGATACAAAAAAACACAATTAAAACAGCACACGCATTATAAATATGCAATATTTCACGACATGGTCTACTTTCCAAACCCCATTGAAGATATAAGTAATCCATTAAATAAATAATACTTATAAGTTAAGCCACAAACGAGAGATCCCAGACGCATGTAGAGGTCCTATTACCTATCTCAAAATTAAAGTAAATCACGTAAAATTAAACAAAAGTTAGAAAGTAACGAAATACTTCGCCACAAAATGAAAATAACGAAGTAAAACGTTACTTCTTAAAACGACTTCTTTAAATAATTATTTAAATAAATAAATCAAAATAAAGAAATTAGTCGTTATTGCCGGGGACTCTATTGTTCAGAATGTGCATGGCTGGGAGATGTCTAATACCGACAGAACTGTTGCCGTAAAATCTTTCTCAGGAAGCAAAGTCAATGATATGCAAGACTATTTGAAACCATTGCTTCGTCGCAACCCACATCAAATAATTCTCCACGTTGGTACAAACGACATTAAGTCAGAGAAATCTCCCGATCAGTTGGTAGAAGGTATTGTGAAATTAGTTAGTCAAGTGCGAGAAAAATCTGCACATATCAAAGTAGCCATCTCGGCTCTTACCATCAGAAAAGATGGTCATCTAATTCAAACAAAAGTTAATCAAACAAACAATCTACTTAATTCATTCTGCTCAGATAATAATGTTGACTTTATTAACCATACTAACATAGATTTAGATTGTTTAAATCGTGGAGGTTTGCACTTGAACCGCAAAGGTAGCACGATAATGCAAAGAAACTATATGGATTTTTTAAATTGACGCGACATCCGTCAGACTAACTCGGAGGAAATGTTGTATTCGAATAGGTTACCATATCTTAGGGGTTTCAAGATGGCATTACTGAATATTGTCAGTTTGTCGAAACACATTGATGAAATTCGCTTACTGTTAGAAAATCAGACTGTTGATATTCTGGCACTCAATGAAACAAGACTTCACCCTGATATTCCAAGTGAATTTGTTAATATTGACGGATATGATATAGTTCGCATGGATAGGGACAGACACGGTGGCGGTGTCTGTTTTTACATTAGGCGGACGATATTATATTTAAATCGTGGTGATTTAGTGCCGGAAAATTTAGAGTCAGTATGTTTGGAAATTAACCAGCCTAACTCTCGTTCCTTTATCGTTTCTACTATTTATCGTCCGCCGTCAGCAACCGTCGAATCTTTCTCACAAATTGAATCTTTGCTTAAGAATGTCGATAACGAGAATAAGGAAATTTACTTATTAGGAGATCTAAACTGTAATCTGTTAGACCAGTCCAACTCTTCTGCTAAACACTTACATTCTATCATGCAACTTTATCAACGGTTGAACTTACACAAGTAATCGATAAGCCTACAAGGATTACGGAATCGTCTTCTACGTTACTAGACGTTTGTATTACCTCCTGTCCTGAGCGAATTGCATTTCATGATGTAATTCATATGGGAGTGAGTGATCGTAGTTTAATTTATGTAGTAAGAAAAATTAATTCATATCTTAAACCTCACGCTAGCAAAAAAGTCGAATTTCGAAGCTTCAAGCATTTCAATGTTGAGAATTTCAAAGTCGACCTTATAAACTTACCGTGGTATTTAGTTGACAGAGAAACTGATATTGATAATAAATGGGCATGTTGGAAAAATCTTTTTATAACTGTTCTTGATAAACATGCCCCGGTTAGGGAAAGACGGGTACGAAATAAAACATCTGTGGCATGGATTTCTAGGAATATCAGAAACAAAATGTTTGAAAGGGACCGTTTGAAAAGAAAAGCAATTTTGTCGGATTTAAGTGAAGATTGGAGCCAGTATAAACATTATAGGAATAATGTCAACATTGCAATGCGTGAAGCTAAGAAAGTTTACAACAAAAGCAAATTTGACAAACATCAAAACAATCCAAAACAGGCTTGGAGGACGATTAATGATATCCTTGGGAGAAAAAAGAAGGACACAATGATTAACGAATTAAAGCTAGGAAATGATACAATTACTTCTCCTATGAGAATGGCTAATTGTCTTAATGACTATTTTACAAGTATTGGTGGTAAAATTGGAGACTCCTGCTCTGAACACACTCAGAATTTTGGCAGGCATATGAGTGATAATCTAAATACTAGTTTGGAATTTACTTTGCATCCTGTTAACGAATCACAG